CAACTAGAGTTTTTTTGATTACATCTGTCATTGAAAATATAAAGATTTGTTTATTTTATAGTAAATATTGCGTTCTATGTCTTAATTGGCTTTAACGTTAATTCGTAAGAGTATATTTTTCTAAAATTTCTCTAGTTTACTTGAGTATAGCTTAGGTTTTCTTTAATTTGGTTATGGTAAATTGTTCTTCATCATTTCCACTTTAGCTAAATTTAATCAATTTTACTTACATTTATTTATTTAGTTTGCAAAACTGTTCTGATGTGGAGATTGTTTAAAAAAGGAGTGATTTTGAATTAGTTCTTTGAACAACTTTAAATCAGTATTTTGTACAATTTTCAAGCCTATGTTTATGAAGAACATAGTTCTGAACATATTAATTACAATTTACAAGACCTTCACTAACTCATATGTTAGACTTACAACAGATGTGCCAGGCTGTTGTTGCAGGATAAGGTTTTTCGTGTGTCATCTTAACAACAAAGCTATAGTGTGCTCTTATTTCTTAGATATAAATTTATATTATTAACGAATCATATCTTCAGGTATTCAAAGTTAATATAGGAGCTAAAATTAATTTGAGTACTGTTCGATTTTATGTTTGAACTCCAACAATTCATATGGAAATATATAAATTTCCCAATATGTTACAAAACCTGTTTCTATTAAAAGGAAACTTTCGAATTATATTCATTATGTAAAATAAGTAATTTATATATATTTTATACATACAGAATAGCCTCCTTTCCTATTTTTTTATTCATGGACTAACGATGTCAACAAATGTCAATTAATTATCGTGAGCTGTAACGAGGGTTTATAATGTACATTAGTGGCAGAAATTTATATAGCAATAATATAACATTAGGAATCAAACATCAACCAAATATAACAAACGTCGAGGATATAGAACAGTTGTGTAGCATGACTATCAACAGTTGATGTGTTCTTTTAGTAACAATCATTTTATTACCTCTTACTCGTGGTTTGTATAGATACTTTCCATATGTGAATAGACAGGTCATGCTTTTAAGTGGATTGAAAAATTAACTCCAAGCAGATTTACCAATTAAAATATAGTTTTTCTAAAAAATTGAAAATAATTTATAATTGCTTCTAAACGAACGACAAGTTGAGTCCCGGTCGAGACATAAATATATTCATATATATATATAGAATAATTTACATCAAGTTATTATTAAATAAAAGTCAAGATATGATTTTAATTCTGAACGCTATTAATATAGATTTATTACACATTCCTTGTTTTTAAAGAGAGGAGACCCCAGCCCCGCTGACGTCACTAATGTCACTTCTTCTAGACCGTTCCATGATATTTTAAAACGAAACTTCAATTGTTTTTAATTTTCCTGTATTTCTCGAAGGTTCTTCATAATTACATTATGGAATGGTCCGCACTCACTGTAGTCTCAACTGTGCCGTCGTTGGTCCAGACGACATATTTATACCAAGATTCAAACATAGTTCTATTCTCCTTTTAAACAAACTTTGATTTCGTTTTACTTTTAACAATAATTAATCATAAATACTAATGAGTTTTAATAATAATTAATTGAAGACAGGATCAAATTATTTTCATGTCGCATTCGTTATTAAAGCTGATAGCGCCGATATATATCTCATTTGAGTCTTTGGAATAAATGTTAGAGCGAAGAGTAAAATCAAAAGCACTAATAATTGTTTATGTTACCTTAAATACTTTCATGATAATGTAAACTTATGGTTCCCATAAAAAAATAAAATATGACATGAAAGATGGTGTGAAAGATTCGTGTTTCATTAGAAAATTGAGAAACATCTTTCAATTGTTTTTTATTTGTAAGAATAGTTCCGTCAGTACAACGGCTTCATTATATCTTCAGGAAGTATTTAGTGGATATTTGTTCAACTAGACATCTTAATAACTGTACCTTAATTAGTATAGACCGGGACCGTGACCTCAACGTCGACCTTGACCCCACAGTATATGATGTCATATAACGATCATTAATTTCGTGGCAGAACCTCTCATATTGTAGGTTAAGTATTTGATACGGAATATACTTAAATTTTTTATGCATTTCATAAAATCCGATCATTTAATACATAGTATAGAAAGTATTTGAATGTATTATTCTATCATCAACTTTAGTTTCAAGACATCAGTCTATATAAATCCGTCGTTAGGGTAATCTATAGTTATAGATATAGTTCGGTTCCATCTCGGTTCATATAATGGACGTGAATGTTCCTCGGTCCGTGTATCTCGGTTTCTGATAAAATGAAGTCAATGAAATAGAAAAAGGCTGCGTCGATGAGATCCCCAGATACAGTAACCCTTAGTTTTATATTTACTTACGGCTCTATCTGTCTGACACTTATATATATTTCTACAAATATATTATTAAGGTATAAAATAATAAATAGGATTTCTTTATGCAATATTACAATTAAATACATAAAAGATGTACAATATCTTTCATATTAATAGAAAATTTATTGAAATTCTTCCCTTAAATATTTCTTTAAGTCAAAGAGTTTTTCTTCGAGTTTAGAAGACGGTTCGTAGGAAATAATAAAAGTAATAATTTTAAAAATCTATCAAAGATATAAAAAATGCGTTTGAATTGATACCGAAGTAAATATTTTATTTTAATAGTCCTTTAATATTAGTTCTGTTTGTATATAACAAATGCAATGTAACAGAGATAATTTATTTTAGGTATATTAACTATTAATGATAGGAAAATAGATGAAGGTTTGAAGTGTTGTGTGATTCAACTCAATACTTCGATTTCGTAGGTCATTGAACCTTAAATTGAATCAGTATTGTGTACCTTTAGGAATGAGCCTTTACCTTTTTAAATTAGGCTGAGAAGAAGATTGATATACATATTTTTTGAGTGCGACGTGGCTTGAGATTTAGTAATAAACAGGTATAGATGCTCACAAACATACTCATTTATTATACATAGTAGGGTGGGAATGTTTTAATTCTCTTTGTTATCCTAAGGTAAGGATCCTCGAAAGTCTATTTTTGTTTTATTTAATATGTTGTTGTTTTGTATTCGTAATTTATGAACGTATTTATTTAAATAAAAAATGATTTTTTTATTGTTGTGTGGTATAAATAAGAATTAAAAATATATATCTTATAAAGAAATAAAATATTTGACTTTTAATTTTAGTCGACAAGGTTAACAAGCCCTTTATGGTTTGTATCGTGATAATTGTTTTGTAGAACTACGGAGATCTGTTAATTTTGAAGCAAATCTCGTGTTGAAACCTGTGTGTGTGTGTGTGTGTTTGTGTGTGTGTGTGAATATGTATTAAATCCATTCTTTGCATCTTTTCTAACATTAACTTTCTACATAACACACTAAGGTTGGAAAATTCACTTTTTAATAAAATAATGCAGCGTGTCATGTACAATATTTTTTCCATTAACTTTAAACTATGTTCATCATACAGTCATAAGAAAATATTTAAAAAAAAGAAAAACAATTTCTTATGTTGTGTTTAACTCCCGAGTAAAAATATATACTAGTTATTCATTCTCGCTTACATTATATTATTTATATTTTATACATCAAGTGTTGTACTTCTCACCTGTTCTTATCAACCTTTGTTAGAATCAACTCGGACTCATTACACACATGTTTATGTAACTAGATGAATCAAACGTATTACTTTTAATATGTTTATTATTAATATTGAATCATAATATTTAATTTATTTCCTTACTCCTGGAATAAATAGCTTCGTCATCGGCCTATCAGAGCCCACTGCTGAGCAAGGCCTCTTTCTCACATGGAGAAGGTTTGAGCATTAATCACCACGCTTGCTCAAGACGGGTTGGTGATATCAAACTTATAATTGTGAAACTATAAGTCCAGGTTTCCTCACGATGTTTTCCTTCACCGTAAGTCAGTGGTGTCTAAATAATCTCAGAAAGTACATATGACTCCGAAAAATTACATTGGTACTTGCCAGGTTTGAACCCGCGCCCTCGGCAACGAGAGGCGGACCCTTTAACCACTAGGCCACCACTTAGAGTCTTAAATATAATTGATCTCTACTGTATTAAACTTGATGTGATCACTTCACTGTTTGGATCAGATGTGTAAACGTTGTTTGACAGATACAATTATGTAATTAATATACTTAATGTAATGTAGATGAGATGAAATTTATTTTAATATAATTTTCGATTTTACTCATAAAACTTTTTTTGTATAATAACTTGTCAAGATTAAATTTATGTTTATTAATGAAATCAAATCTTCTCAATTTATAAATTAGAATAAAAAGTTCAAGATACATAAGATCAGCTACATAAAGGAAAAAAATATCCAATGTGTTTTAAAGTTGATTTAAAAGTTAAAATGAGCAAATTTCATTATTATATAGATTTCTTCGTTGAACGTATGATTATAGTTAATAAAATACCCGTTATTTTTTCATTTCTCTTTCAAACCTTAAATACAGGGTAAATGATACCAATTAGTACAAATTAGGAGCAACCGGTTTAACTTAACCGTAGAAATGAGGAACACAAACGAAAATGCGCTATTTTTGGGATCAAACGATTGTTAAATGTTAAACTCAGTAAAGATCCGGTCGTTACGTGAACTATTTCATTTTTTTTTGAGATAAAAACATAGTTATAAAGCGGTCTTAGTAATGTTGTCCTGTTTTCAGGAGGAATGTTTTCTATATGGCTGAATATTTCCATGTTGTTGTTGAACCGAGCTTGTATAAGCGAGGGAGGAGGAGGAGCTTCTGAATGGATGACATTAACTAAGAGCCAGCTCGTGGCATGTTGTCCGTTACATTATATTTAACGAGCCCTGAGCGACGCTCGAGTGTCGCCCTCGTCTACGAAATGTCTTATTAATTCTGATCTTTACTTACACCATACAAAGTAGATATCGCGGACGTGAGCTTAGCGTTTCATTTTTATTTCTTTATAACAACCATAATAAAATAATATTTAAAACATGTTTTTTATCCTATTTGTAAGTATTGTCAAGGCGAGGGAGTCTATGTCTAGTGCCTCATATTATTGCAGTTCTTTAGGACCGACACTCGCCGCCACTCGCCGCCACTCGCCGTCACTCGCCGTCACTCGCCGTCACTCGCCGTCACTCGCCGTCACTGGCAGACGAGCCAGTCGACCTACTTACTTGATACTGTTTAATCCATATTTCGGTTCAAATGACTCGCCAAAGTATAAGCGATGTGCTTTTATGTTGAAGCTACTGGTGGGCTAAAGTATACGTTTGAAGTCAGATTTTAATTTAATGTGTTTATTTGTATATCCAAGGAGATGGAAAGCAGACTTCCTCTATTTTTGTTTATATGATAGGTATTGGTTTTACCGAGTTCTTGTTTTGATGGACGAATAAAAAGGAATAACTATTTTAGGATTTAACTGTGGAAGTTTTAAATAACGAATAGTATTGTTTGGACTGTATAAGGATAATTTATATAAGAGGTAACAACAAATATGTCCTAACACATGGATCGAGTGTGATCGTCACGAGAGATTAGGGAATAAAAATAAATAGGTATAGATTTTACTTTTAAATTATGTAGACACTTTCGACTACTGTTATGTCCCAAACTCATATTTTACGTAAAACTTGGTTATTTTAAAATAAATGTCCATTTTGAACTTTAAGTTTAGAAGAAGATCACACTAGATTATAACAAAGCTTCTAATTTCTCACACAAGTGTCTCCAGCTCGTTATGATGAATATAGGACGTATTACTTTAAGTTTCTTTCATTCTGTTTTCGTAATATACATAAACATAAAACAAATATACAATATAGTAGGAGAATATTTATCTACTTTAATTAATTTATTGAGCAATATGAAAATAACATCCCTTGTTTCAGTCCCCTCCTATTATATTTTCTCTGTTATCCCCTCCGCAGGAGTAAATAAGTTAATAACGTTTGCTAAATTCTTCTCGTTTGACTTCTGTACATCAAAATAACATAATATTTTTTACTGAACCGTTATATAATAGTTAACATCTATTTCTTTTTCTTGATGACTCATGAAGTAATTTCTGAAGACGAAGACCTTGATAATAATTTCAGTAACATTAAGTTCTAGTGTTTTAAGGTTTATTCAATATTCACTCTTTTGTATAATATATAAGAGTGATTTTAGAACAAATCACGTCATCTATAGTACAGTTTCTATTTTAAATTGCTGAATAACAACAAATTGCTACAAATAATGTCATAATCAAAGATATTGTTAACATTTTAAACTCATGTTTTCTATGATATTACTTTTATTTTTCCTGTTTTTATGGATTCACCGTCAAGTCAGCAAATTATTTGAAGACGGAACAAGTTTGTTGGGAAGCGTGACATAAACGTTTTAGATATACGATTAGCTAAAGATCTAGATCATATTTTGCTGTAGACTATATGTATATGCATATGTATAAAAATAAGTTTCATTTTGTATCGATCACGATCCTAGAAGTTATTTCCTTCACTATAATAAAATTCCTAAAGTCTTTTAAAGTGCGGCGAAGTCGATTAAATACGCTTTTATATAAAAAAAAAAACTAATCGATGCTTCCATTATGGCTTCACGAAGCCACAAACCCACGCGACACGCTGCATATAATACAGGAGTCATATTATTAGACCTACATTTTTATTAGTAAAGATCAACCAAAGTGTATTAACTAATTAAAATTAATGGTATAATGTTCTTTACATATATGTTGGATTTAATAAATATATTATTTTTCGTTTCTCGTGAGCTAAGAGGAGAGCGGGTACGGTCAAGTAAAATTGGTTTTAAAATATGTCTTAAGGTTTCGTCGACCACTCCGAACAAAGGAAATGACACTCACATACACAAAAATAGTTTTAAAAGGAGCTAGTAACATTTTGTTATCATAAATATAAGGTCTTGAGACAAAATAAATATTTTAGAAGGATTAATACGACCACGTCAACTCTGTTTATATGATTACACTTGCCGATCGTTTTTATTTATATCAGAAAAAATGTATAACATTCATGAAAATTTAAGGATTAGACGACGATCTTGAAGCGCTAGGATATAGTAGAATGAAGATACTGCCTGTCGTTTTAAGTCATAGTGTGTGATATAATTGATTATTCAGTTTGGTTAGTTAGTGTATATATAGTGAGGAGAATTTTACATTACTTTTAAACAAGTCTTTACAAGTGGTTAACAAAAGCTTACATTCAATCAGTACACTATAACTACCTATTAATTATTTTCAAAACTAATTTCGTAGAGAGGATCAAAAAAAATTAAACAAAATAATTTAAAAACTGCACAATAGAGAACCGAAACTATAGAACATAAATGAAATACAGTTTTATTAAAAACACAAAGGAAACAAACAGAACATTGTGCGTTCAACTTATAATTCTATTTAACATTGTTTCACTGTTTTTAATTATCTTTTGTCCCTGGGACCGTTTTGATAATTAAATTTATTTATATTAACCTCCCGCTCACAAAACTTTCTCTCTCCTCTGAGTCAGTCTGTCAGTCTGTCTGTACGTTCCCTCTAATCAAAAAGTCTATTAAAGATAATATTTGATTCAATGGTAATGGCGAGTACATCTGTCGTTGTATTCAGCGCAGTAAGCTTTACGATCCCTCCCTACTGTAGGGTGAGGACGAACACACGATATGTAACGATCAGCAAGATTGTATCTAGGACAGTATATTATACAAAACTATATTGAGTAATAAATCATACAAGTAATCATCAGGCTGCTTACACTGAAATTTGAAGTACTCGCAATTCATTAAACTTTGGTTACCTCACTGTGAGTTATGTGTTAGTTATGATAACAAGTTTTAAACATAACCAATATGATTCCTTGTCGTAATTCTTCTTTTATCTACGAATACGTTTGTTAATATGTAAGTGTCTTTTAACTATTAATCATTCCTTGTAGGTGTCCAACAGTTGTTTTCAGTTGTTGTTTCAGCTTATAATCAGGTGCGGTCACTTTAATGTCACGTCGGGTTGCGGCGTGTCTTCCGTTCGTCAGAATCCCTCCAATTTGGTCGAATCAAGCGACAGCTGACACCGACTTCATACTTCCGAACATATGCTACCCGTACCTTCATTATATTTGACTACAATGAACATTTCACTAAAATAGTTGTCTCTGTCATATAACAAGTATAAGGCGGTTTATTTTACTTCTGTTATTTAAAACTGTATATTTCTGGTTAAAAATGTTAAAGTTTATGAAAGTTGGTAGTGTGGTTATATCGCATATCAGTTCTAAACGAGATAACAAGGTTAAAGTGAAAACTATTATCGAGCATTATTAGAGGCTCGGCTGCCAACGCTGGCTCGTGCCAAAACCAAGTCAGCGACTGCCAAGCCGACTATGTAACTAAATACTGTATCAATGGTGGAATTTTAGCTTAAATATTGGTTTAAAGTTTTGGCTATTTACATTGTTGTACAAAAAAAAAGAAGTGAGACTTTCTAACATTTTAAATATTTCTTACATGTAAAACAGCACTCTGAGGCAACGCCTTTGTTCACAACAGGAATGTTATCTTGCCGATATATATTATATATTCTGCTACTATGAAAGGGGCTTTTTTATTTTTGGAGATAAAATATTAAAGGTCATATTTGCCCACAAATTGGAATCGGAATACGAGATGCGAGACCACTTGGTGTGATTCGTTATAATAAGTATTGAATATAAAAATATCCAATATTATTTGTTTATAATAACTTTCGAGAAACATCTCTTCCACAATAATAACGAAAGATAAGTTGATAGTAATGTAGTGGCACCTTCACTAAATATTATTTGATTAAATAATTAAAGTTTATATATCAAAAATAATATATTTTTTAATTTTTTATATATGTAAATATACACATTTAAATGTTAAACACAGTAATTAAACTACAAGGAGCCATGTTTATGAATCGGCTCACGTCAATGAATCATCTATCAAACAATTTGTCTCATATAACATTACAATTGCCGGGATCCTTGTACATCCATTAAGATATTAGTTGTTATAACATCACACGTCTCAAGATCTTCACTGTCTTATGTAATTTTATTTATTTGTTACGACGGTAAAGTTCTTGATCTTTTCTATGTATTTTATTATTTATAATGTGAAGGAATAAAATTTATAATTTAAACTAAACAATCAATAGTTGTAATTATTAATAAATGAGTGATAGCTTCATGAAGCGGTCATAAGAAATCTTCAGTCCTAATTCCTAACAAAACGGCCTCTGTGACACTCCACACAGCTCCCAGAGACTACTAAAAATGTTATGAATATCGTTCAGGACAGCTTCCAATTCATAATATTGAGCCGTTGATAACGTATGAGTCATACACACGCCACATCTTAGTTGAATATATTAATTCCATGAATAGTTCTGTTTATGTCGACACTATTATTCGTTCAATTATATTTTTACGTCCCGTTCCAATGTGATCCGAAGCTTCTCGATACAAGGTTATTGCTTAGTTAAAAGGTTATAAAAGTAGATATTTGTATTGGGAGATAACAAAATCCTACTTTTACGATGAATCTCATTCAGAGCTTTATTCGTATTTATAGTTGAATAGGTCTCGTAAACATTTATATTTTCAGAGGTATCGTCACTTCTTCCGAGGGAGGTTGAGTGCCTTTAAATTGGCAGCGTCTTCTCTTTGAAGAAATATAACTTTCAAATTACGAATTAAATTGTTGCTTGAGCAATGAGGAGTTCGTAAAATTGAACGTTTTAAAATCACAAGAATATAATATTATATCTGCATTTATCTATTAAAAATTATTTTCGTCCAAGTGAAATTATATTACTCCCTCGCATTATTTGGTATTTTATTGTTTATTAATGGGAACGGAATGTGTGTTGAATTCGTAATATTGGAATGCTCAGATAAATCGAACCTTAATCAAGAGTTACCTTATAAGAAGAATCAGTGTTTTATATAATATACAATTTTGAATTTATACCTCTTAGGAATATATAATATTGCACTTTTGAATTCATATTTAAATGACCATTCTAGCATCGCACCACTCGCCGTAGGGTTGGATTTCATACACATCTCCTGCGAGTAGATGCATTTAGTTGCAAGACTGTGCGTCGTGGGCATTTTTTCTACGCACATGCAGATCTGTTATAGGCCGTGTGCAGACCTGTTATAGTCACGTGATAGGCCGTCTGTTGGCTTGTTTCTTTGGGAAATAA